TCTATTGAAAATTATTTTTATTTATTTTGAAATTAAATTTCTATAATTTAAAAAATGGAGAGGAATTCAACTACATTTCCATTGCAAATTTCATTTGCCAATAACAACACTTCACCTACCAAGGACATGTATAATGGTAGACTGAGGTGAACATGAATGCCTCATTCCATTATTTCCTTTTTTCCTCAGTACTACCAAAGTCACTATACTAGGCAGATATTTTATTCCCAGAGACACCTGTGTTTTCATCAGTCAACCATGGATGTAAGCTGGATTTCACTGCATGTTGTATTTTGTCATTATAGGCTGTATTGAATATTCAGAACTTCTGCTTTTCCATTGTAGTGGTACTGTTCATCTTCTTAGTCAAAAGTGAACAAATAATAGCTCTACTACTGTAGGCATATATTCTATGAATATAATTTGCAATTAATCTAAAACAAAATCATAGTGATATACCCTTAAGAATTATAAGACCGGCAAATCATGTCCAGTTGGCACTCCTCCTCAAAATCTCAGTATCAGATATGCCACAGTTATTTTTGCCTACCTGCCTCTGCTGGTGTATATGGAAGCTTTCCTATGTTAAAAGAATGAAACTAGCGAAATTTCACTTTCTGCTTCTTCGGAAAAAAATTTCTATTAAGATAAAAGCAAGTGCTTCATCACCTAGATTCACCCATCATTCACAGCTCCTATTTTAGTTATGAAGCCTGGATTTTCTTAGAAGCCATGTTGAAGGAAAAAAATTGTTCAGGGGTTAATTTAGGCTTCACTGTAGTATACAGTATGTTCTAAAAGTGTAACATACTTTCTAGAGAGTAAAACTTTTTTTTTTCCTGAACTAGCAGACTGGTATTAAATCCTATCATAGGATTAGAAAATTAGACAGGCAAACACCCAGCCTTATTATGTTTATTTTTAGAACATTATGGATGAACCCAGGCCTATTCAACCCTGGAAGATTTGTCCATGACAACTGTCCAATAAACGAGTACTTAATTGAAAAATTAATGATCTTTGGACTTGGCAAAAGAAGATGATTTGGATACAGCTTTGCTTATGTTAAAATCTTCATCTTAACAATGTTGCTACATCGACTGGATATCAACAGTTCACAAGGCCAGAATTTAGGTGTCTCCCCAAATTTTGTACTAGCAATGAAACCTGCGCAGTTTAAAAGTTCAGTCTCACTGAGAACATAAATGTCAGTATATTTTGGCCCAATTTTTTACACAGACACATGTATTTTTGGAAATCTCTGACTCTGTGAGAAACAAAAGGCTTTTAACCTTTGTATCAAATGACCTTTGTTTAGTTGCACTTTTAGTTTGTTTTTTATAATTTAAGGACAATTTGATAAATATAGGATCATAGAGGATGCTGTATTTTGTCCTGACATTTTTCTGGTTTACTTTTACACAGTGCATAGGAGCTCCCTTTCTGCAGCATAAATTGTAGTCCATAAACAGAAAAGTAAAAATAATCTGAATTCTAAATTTAGTTTTTAAATGATCGCACAAAAGATTGTCAAGCCTTCTTTTTAGAACTTACTTGTGGCCTGTCCATGGCCTTTGGTAAAATAAGGTCATCTAAACTGAATTAAAATGGGGAACAAAATACACATCCTGCATATGACGCTGTGGATGTGGTCAAATGGTTATGCATTACTATATTAGTATGTAAGTACCACAGGATACAGCAAAAAAAGAGCTGCATTTGATGAAGCTGTGTATCTAAAGGAGGCAATCAAAGATACTTAAAAGGACAGAGATAGTAAAAGTCAGCAAAAAATGCAATTCTCAGAAAAAAGGCTACTTGTTTTTTTCTGAAGAAACATTACATCAGCATTCCTATGGCTAAGTAAATATGTTCATGGTCTGTCATTTGTGCGTTGTTTCATTTAGCTAGGAGAATACCTGCTGAAGTATAAATAATTTCCTTTGTATACTGACAGATGAACTGAATATATGTTACTATTCATGCTGTCTAACAAATTATTTCAATAATAGATTTCAAATCCATAAAACAACTTCAGTTTAAGTTCATTATTAGCAGACATGTATGACATTTCAGAGTATCCCCTGTAAAAAATGGATAAGAATAGTACACTTTGCACTCACTATATGGGTATGCTTAATAATATGTTTTGCAAAGGTTAAATATGGTTATTTCACTTGCATAAAATTTCAGCATTTGAGTCTAAATGTTAGGTGAGTAACTGATATTGCATCTTCTGGTTTACAAGAGAACAACGATGTACCCAGTAACATGGTAATCCTACTAAAGTTTTTAAAGATATCATTCACAATTTTTCTCTTTCTTTGCCCCCAAACTATTTGTCAGCATAAAAAGAACTCATTGTGCTGTCTCATAAATAACAAAAATGCTTGTAAGGGTTTTTTTCCCCCTTCTCCTGAGAATAGTTTCTCATGATCATACCTTTTACAGAGCAGCAGTATTTAGGGAAACACAACACTTGTCTTGTCTCAGTCTTAGTTAAAAGGAACTGTATTCATCCCATTAGCCTCCTACAAATGCTGGGTGTGATCAGTGAACCAAATCCACCACAAACTCTGCAATAAAAAGGACTCGTCACAGCAAGAGGCCCCTAATTTCTCTGGCGTTGCCAGAACATTATAGAACTGATGTATGCTATCTCTTGAAGCACCCAAGCAAGCAGTTTCACAAAGAATGCTCTGTTTGTCATGTGGGGGACTTGTTTGCCTTGCAGAGCGTGCCATTAATGTCCTCACATGCTTATGGGACCAGAGAACGGGTTTAATTGCTGATTGCCTCTAGCCAACTTCAAATTATCGGGTTAAGTTTTGTGTGTTTCAATGAATTAAAGATGATTCGTAGTGCCAAAGCTGCAGATGTGGCTTTTGCCAAAGGGATACTGAAATGGAGGAACAAAGGAATAAAATGGCTGGTGGAAATTAAATGGAATCAACAGTAGGAACTTGGTAAGCAAGGAGAAGGCAAAGAGCTGAGACAAATAATGAGATTGAGGCAGAGGAGGTAATGGTGGGAGCAGAGGGCTCCAATGGGCTCAGTCTGCACTCATTGCACAGGTGAAGGCTGGGAGGACACACTTCTGATGCTGCCCTTGAACATACCAAAAAAATTACCACAAGTGCAAGCATATACTAAACTCTTGGGAAGCAGTAATCCTGCCTGCCCTGAAGCCACAGAGACCTCTGAGACTGCCCCATCGCTTGGATGCTGTGCTTGCTTGGAGGTCATACTCCAGCCTCAGCCCATGGCCACACTGTCCATGCCTCTGTCACACTCTGCCGCTAGCGGAGAGGGAGCCGGCACGGGCAAACCTGAGCTCTGCCCCAAACGCAGTGGAGATGCCACCGGCCGTGCTGTTTGTTAAGCCTGAGCTTGATGCCGGGGGTGCTGTAGAAACAGCTGGAGCCTGCGCCTTCAGCACCATCACTGCTCGTGGGCGCAAAGCGAGGCAAAAATTCCTGCTCGCTTCAGGATTATATTTGTGATAAAGAAAACAAAATGCATGCAGCATTTGGACAAAATAATCTGTCTGATATTAACTTTCAGTTATACTCCTGCATCTACAGCTACCATTATGAGAGTAGATAAAGAAGTAGTAGCACATTCACATTGCCTTATACGACACTACTGAGAAACATAGCTTGGGAAATGATTCTTTTTGCTGTGACTTGGATTTGATGGGAGGCAATAGTTTTGGCTGTGCTGAATGAAACACGGGGGCTATGGTTTCTCATTTAAGAGCAATTTGGGGTTTCAATATTTATTTCATATCATAACTGAGTAACAATTTAATATTTTATCTCTTTTTCTACCCTAAAAATATGTACTTACTAGTGTATTCAGCTTAGAATATCCCACAAGGATCAGAAAAGGTCTAGCATTGAAACGAAAAGTTTTCATGTGAGCAGAAATAAAGAAGACTAGGACTAGGCTATGTAGAGGATGTTTTAGTAAGAAAAAGTAGCACTGTTGTTACTCTTTCTTATGATGTGAAATTTGTGTCATATGATTAAATGAAAGAAAATGCATCTAAATAATTTTGAAATGTTTTTCTTAACCTGATTAGTTAATTTATAAAAAAAAATAGTACCAAATTAACAAGTTCACTAAAAGAAAAGAAAAAAAAAGGAAACATCAGTTACCAGAATAGTACTGTTCATTACTGACAGAAGGATATAATTATATAAAATATAGTAAGGAACATATTTCAGAAAATTAGCCAATGAAGTAAAAATCATCATTACTGGACACAGATGAAAAAAAAAATATTTATGACATTTAAAAAAAAAAGTGGAGAAATGAAAAAAGAGGGGGAAAAAAGCAAAGTAAAATGATGAAAAAGAGAAAAAAGTAGGTACTGCAAAGTGGAGAAATTTTTTCTGCCAGACTCTGAATGTAAAGTTCCCCCAGGGATGCCGGTTTCAGTAGCAGCTGAAACTGCTTTTCTTTAACTCAGATTTACTTAAGTGCAGGAAAGATGAAAGCTTTAGAGTTTCCTCTAAAGAGTTAAATTTTAGAATGAATACTCTGAGGGCTTTCTTTGTCATTGACATTTCTGTCCAGAGCTGATCTATGCCATTTCCAAGAGTTGCACACCCACCACGCAGCACTTTGCTGTGCAAACAGGGGAGCCAGTGTCACTTGCCTGTTCACAACTTCATTTCTTCTGACTATTCATAGGTGAAAAGAACAGCCCTGCCAATTCTCATTCTTTGGAGAGGTGGGGAGGGGGGAGACCACTCATGCTCCACCACCATGTAGATACACAATCTTAGGTCCCTTGAGAGATTAAATCTAAAGCAGATTTCAAACCTATTTATTCCTGTTAACAGTAAAATATTTTGCAGTCTATCAGAGAAGAGAAATTTAAAACCTCACTTGTATTGTAACAGGATAAAAAAATCCTATTTATTAAAAATAGGCAAATCCATTAACTTAATCTTAACTTTTTACACTGAACAAGAAATCAGCATATGCATTTCTGATTACCCAGCAAACAACATGTGGGACATGTGTCAAGCCTTAGCTGAGGAACTGCAAAGCAAGGACAACCTTCTCTTAAATTACTAGGGAAATTGAACAGAATAAAGCTTGGCCCTAGGCAATTTGTTAAAAAACATGCACTATCTGAATTTATGGCCATTAAAATATTTAAGTAGATCAATAAGAAAACCAGGCTCATAACCAGACAGATTAGACTGCATGGTAATTTTCTATGCTCTTAAATAAGTCTTTAACCAGCAACAACAAGAAGAAAAACATCTCTCTGCAGCTGGCTTTATCAGATTTCTATTCATTAAAGTGGGACCCAAACAGATAAACAGAAGGGGAACAGCTATCAAAAAAGTCCATGCTACCAGAATTTATCACTGTATAGCTAATCTACTGCATTTGATAGGAAAAGATCACTGTTACCAGCAGTCTTGAATTCCACTGGGAATGTAAGAAAAAATGTGCTCCAGAGCCCATCTGCAGTTTCCTCAGACAGTGACCAGCACTTCTGAGGGCACATTCATTCGATGGGGAGCAGAGAGCTCTTCCTGTACAGCCAGGCATGCCTTCAGCCTTACTGTAGACTGTCAACATGAATAGAATCAAGGAATCACAGAACAGCCCAGGTTGGAAGGGACCTCAACAGATCAGCTGGTCCAACATTTCATGAGAAAGGGAGCCTAGATGAGATTATCTAACACCCTGTCCCATCGCATCTTGAAAACTTCCAGTGATGGGGACTACACCATGTCCCTGGGGAGGTTGTTCCAGTGATTGTTCTCACTGTAAAAAAATTCTTTCTTATGTTGAGAAGAAACCTGTCTTGTTGCAACTTGTACCTCTTGCCCCTTGTCTTCTCCATGTGGCTCCTTTGGAAGGGAAAGCCTCCGTCCTTTTTGTAGCTGCCTTTTAAGTACTGGAATACTGTGATGAAGCCCCCCCGAGTTTGCTCTTCTCCAGTGAGAAGAAACTTAATTCCTTCAGTCTTTCCTCATAGGGCAGGTTCTCCAGCCCTTTGATCATCGTCGTGGCC